AGGTTGATAGAAAAAAGAGGGTATTTTTACAAGACACTTGTACACTTATACTAATAATTCCTACACACACAGGCTAGTTTAATTAATATTGGCTCCCGTACTCATAATTAGTCCGGTGGACATTGTTTTATTCTCTTCATCTAATGTGTAATATATTTACGTGATAGTTTATTTAAAAAAAAACATCAATATATTTTTACTAGCATTGCCCGCGGCTCCGCCCGCGTTCAGATGACCAAAAACCACATTCTTAGGTTTTACAGATTAGTGTACATTGCAGTTTTTGTTACATCCTCAGAAATGAGATATTTTCCCGCGGTAAAAAGTATCATATAATATATTGACTCGGGTAACCAGCTTATTATATGTATAGATTGTTTCATCACCATACCAAATTTCATCAAAATCCCTCCAGTATTTTTTCTGTCATGTGGTAACGAGCAAACAGACAGACAGACAGACAAAAATTCTAAAAACTATAGATTCGGCCTCTGTATCTATAATAATGTTTATTTCAATAAGATTTTCCAAAAAATATTTAATAGTCAGATTCGGCTTAGTTACAATTTTATTATATATGTATAGATTGTTTCATGTGAACGTAACTAACTATACTACTACCTACAAGTGTAATTTATGCTTGCTATTCTGTAAAATTAAAAATATATGAAGTAACCTATGTTATAACCAAACTGTTATAAGCAAAAATTATAAGCGCTTAAGTAATAAAAATGATACCATATTTTACTGGCTTTGCCCAAAAGACAAATTAGGGATGTTCGGTGAATTTCCAAGCGTTTGCATAATGCTTGAATATCGATAACTTACCCTCGTCATCGTGACTACGATGCTGTGACACCTTGTACAGATTACACGGTTGCTACTATGAAAATAATATGATTTTTAATATTTAATACTATTTCATCAAAAATTTATAACCATAAAGAAAAAATATAAAATATAATATTAATTATTGAAGCCACATAATTGGTCTATGTGTAATTTAAAAAGTAAGAATAATAATTATAATTTAGTTAGCTATTATTTAAAAATATTTTTTATATATTTGGACTCTCTATCACCTCCCCTATCCAAAAATACCACTCACTCCTCCAAGGACCGCGTCCCATATACTAAACTGCAGCCAAATATTGTAAGGTACTTGGTTCAATTTTTCATTTTGTTATTTGTGGGTAGGCTGTCTGTAACAACTATACCTTCGAGGCATCTAACACCTCAGTCTCTACCGTGACCATGATTGCTATAAAGCATTCGCAACGTGGGGAACCAAAAATCAAAATAAATCCGCGAAATAATCCGAAAAGATAGTTTTATTTAAAATGTCAAATATTCGCGTAAATCTAAGAAAGTATTAAGCAATTTAATGTTTAGAGGTCACAATATTTTTATTGAGATTAAGGTACGCAGTAACTTTTTACTAAGTATGTACTATTTTGGACAATCCTCCTTATTTACCGGTATAGACATTCCCAGTTCTTTTCGTTTTGGGTATATATAAAAATGTATTTTTAGCGACATCCGTTGAGTATTTGTAAAAATCAGTGTTTGGAAATGCAATTACCATAGACATAGATTCGTTACCAGTTCAAAAAAAAAAACAAAAACTATGTGATTTTCCCTGTTCTTAGCTTCTACCCTTCACATTACCTGTAAATAAAAAAGGACCTCTATATTTGGCACCATGATGACATTAAATATATTAATAACTAGCGACTCACCCTTGCTTCGCTCGGGTTCGTAACTAGGTACGTTTTAACGGTCAGTATGGAATAAATATATTATAAATTATTATATAGCGACCATCGCTTCGCTCGAATCCGTCCCTAGGTGCGTTTTTATTTTTTAAAGAACGGAACCCTAATTCTTTTTCTAAAATAAAATTAGCCTATGTTACTCCTATGACATCAGCTATCTTCCAGTGTAAATCCCTTCAAAATCAGTCTAGCCGTTTCAGAAATTATCCGGAACAAACAGACCGACAGTCAAAATTTAAAAAAAATGTGTTTTTCTTATAAGTACCGTATATAAATTATTTCATATGTATATAGTAAAACGCTGTTATTTTGCCATTACAAACAGACACTTCAATTCTATTTATCTGTATAGATAATTTATAACCTCTAATAGCATTGTATTCCAAGAAATATCTTTTAACCTATAAGAAATTTCAAGTAAACCAATATTAAACAGTTACCGAGGCCATTGTGCTTGAGAACGAAATTCAGAATTTGTGGCCATAAATTTCTTTGAATTAAAAACACAAAGTTGTGCGGACTTTGAGCTATAATGCCGCTAGCATTTGCTGTTGTTGCCGGGCGCTATCCACAATAAACTAATGATCGACCCTGGTTTCGCCCGAATTCAATATTACCTATTTCTTGTAAAATTTATAATTAAATAAAAAAATACAACAAATTCTGCATTCATCCGATACAGTCGCACACCATCTATTGAACATTAACTGGTACTTTTTGTGCAAGAAACCTTTGCCAGTACACGCAGAATGTATTTTTCTACAATTATTGAAATAAAAGATATAAATTTATTTTTGTATTTAATATAAAATATTCACTGTATAAGACTCTGCTAGCATAAGTTACATATGTATTTATTATTATACTAGCAGAACCCGCGGTTTCGCTCGCGCTAAAATTCATCCCCTATTTTACCCCCTTATGGGATGAATTTCGAAAAATTCTACAACACGTTTTTATTTCATTGTATTGAAGAGCATTAATACCAAGTTTCAAGTAATTCTAACCATAAATCATTGTGTAGGTTGTATTATAACGTGATTTCCCGTGGAAATAAAATAAGCTCCCGCGGTAAAAAATAGCCTATGTCACTCTCCAACCCTCTGACTATCTCCACACAAAAAAATGCGCCAACCCGTCAATCCGTATCGACGTGAAAGAAGGACAAACAAACAAACAAACAAACAAACAAACAAACAGACAAACAAACAAACAAACAAACAAACAAACAAACAAACAAACAAACAAACAAACAAACAAACACACTTTCACATTTATAATATTAAAGTATGGATATGGACTATTTTTTAATACTCAAATTGCTACAAATCATCTAAAAAACTGAAATATTACCCTTTATCATTCTAAATCAAAATTATGCTACATCTAACCCTAACCCATACAAAAACCTAACAGTCCATTAAGCAATGTCTCTGCGTAATTTGAAAGGTTTCCCCAATCGGGTAGGGAAAAAAATAATAGTCTGGTCACTCCCTAATGACAAAAACTCTTCTAATGCTTCATCTAATCACGTGTATGGGTGTGGCAAATCACATAAGGGCCGCTCTAGGGTATAGACAATCAAATTTCCTCCTCAGTAATGTATTGAATATGAAAACAAGTAAAATTAGCGTGATAAAGTCAAAATAAACTTCATCCATCTTACTTTATTGACCAATCAGTGATAATAACAATATTTGCTAGAAAATAATAAACAAATAGATGCGAATGTATGAAATATACTCGTATCATTGCAAATTATAATTTCTGATGAATCAATTAATAAAGTAACCGAATCAAAAACAACGAAATTTCCATTAGATTGGATTAGTGATAAAAATTCTACCCAAATATAAAAAAATACTAAAGGGAAAACGATAATTACGATCTTTAAATTATATCTCTTATATTCTGTACTTAACGCGATTATTCGCTAGAAAATTCCATGGCAACATTATTATAATATTTAAGGTAAATTATATTTTATTTGCTTATGTACTAATAATGCTGAGAGCTACTGGATTCAATTCTGGAAATTTTATTTATTCATTTGTAAAAGCAAACTAACAATGTACTCGTACATACAGGGCCGGATTTAACCTTAGCGCCGCCCCTGGGCACTGTAAAAAGTGATCTATTATCGAAATTTTGAATAAAGTGTTGAAAGTTTAAATTTTTTTAATTATTAATTTTTCGAAATATGCAAAAAAAATATAATTTATAAATGATATCAATTTTTCGAAAAATGTACCTACAAGTCAATCTTTTTTTATTTTTCATCTTTTGTTAAATAAAAAAAAGCATTTTCGATAACGCAAAAAAAAAATCCCACCCTCCTTACTTTATCGGCTAATGTAAGACACCCAGAGATGCACCCGAATGAAGTGACAACAAATATGTCTTTTCAAATATTCCTAGTCAATATCAACCGACATGCCTCATGAGTTTTCGTAAATTTTCTTAACTTATAAGCTATATTATAGTTCAAAACACTAGAAATACATATCATAAAATCGTAAAACCCGAATATGGCAATGAGAAAACTTTGGTGTCTGGACGGAAACTTCGATTACATACAAGCAACTGATCGTTCGAAATTAATAACTTGTGTAACCTATATTTGCCGAATATAGTTTTATTAATTCTGAATATTATATAAGAAAATGTATACATATATATTCGAGTTATCATTGATTTAAACTCAATATGCAGCATCCGAACTAGCGGATTGTTTAAAATTATTGACTAATGGGGTAAGATTGATATATAATTACAAATGTTTAGGGACGTTTTAAAAGAGTATTAGATATAATATATTTTTATGGCGCATACAAATATTGTACCCTAAAAGAATTGAACGTGCGCTCTGTGATATGATAGTCAAATATTATATCTATGCCACACTTTACTGCCTCGATGGTCTAGTGGTTAGTATGTACGACTGCAGATTTGAAGAGCGTAGGTTCGTGTTATCAGTTCGTTTATTAAGTCTTACTGTTAAGAAATTTTCTTTAACAAGACGTTGGAAGTTGGCAGTTTTTTGCTGAAATCGGGCATGAAGCCATCATGTACCTCACTTCGCCTTGATTTATAACTTTTACTTAAATATACGCATAGTATAGAGGTCTCTTTTTGCTCGAGAGCGCTTTTATACATTTTTATATCTTTTACATTGTTATGCTAAAAATAAGATTTTTATACTAATAAAAATTTACTTTGTTCCAGTGGCGTGCTCTACTGTTACCGTGACTAAATGCCAGGCTGCTCTACGTACTCTGCAAGCATTTCCGTTTTTCAAGCCAACGTGCCTCTGTCGAGAACCGAACGTGGACCCCGAGTGTAACTCCTTCCGCGATTTTCTGTTTGATCACCCTTGTGTGTTCGTTATGAAGAAGGGTGAGTTCAAAATATATAAATCGACATTTTATTTATATACATATAAACATGTAGATATAGCAGGTACCTGGGTGACAGAGCTTCGCTCGGCGTTTTTTCGATACAAATATCAAAATAGTTATTTTTTCAGAAAAGACTTTTAGGTAAACTTAAAAAACAAAACCTTATCTGAATACAAAATTTGATCCAAATCGTTAGAGCCGTTTCCGAGATTCATGCATTTAATTTATATGTAGGTATACAAGAATTGCTCATTTAATATTATAAAATTTAAATATTAAGATTTAAGTAAAAAGTGGAAAAAGAAAACCAATCAGATTTTCTAAAAATAAAAAATCTTTCACTTTGAATCATTCAATCCATTTTGCTAAATTCTATAATTATTATACAATGTAGATTGTAAAAAGCGGTTTTTTTTTACTTTTATACTTATAATTCTTTTTTTTATGTTTTTGGTTTACTCCTGAACCTATATACTAAACAAGTTTAATACACAAGATTCAGAGAAATATATAATCAGTAATATATAATTATTGACTACCTATTTATCGATTAAACTAAATTAATAAAGAAGCAATTAGCAAACTTTTTCATAAGTACTTGTTTCTTACTCAAATATTATATTTCTTATAAAAACGAAAATTATTTTATTTCTATATAACAAGAACAGTAGCCATTTATATTTCAAAGAGAAGGAAGTACTTCACTCGGTTGCATGTCTTTTTATTTATGTTACATAATATCGATTTTGATAATTCTATTTTTTAACAAATAAGATTTTTTAAGTATGGAAATGCATTTACGCTTACCACCTGTATACATACAGGTACTTATGTGGGAGTTACTGGTCGAAAAGTTAGTACTACCGACTAAAACCCATCGGAACCTCCCCTGTCTTAATGGGTCGTCTTAATAGTTATACCCCAAGGGTGGTCCCATATAAATTTGAAGAAAATTTATCCACTCTAGAATATGAAGTTATTATTTGGAAATTGTTTGTAATGTATCTTTTTTAGTTAAAAAGTAATTATAATAATAGAGATTGGTGTAAAACTAACTTTGGCATTAAAAACTAGCCAGTAGCAATAGCAGGTAAACGTTTGCGTAATCTTATTTGGCATACGTCCAGAAAGAAAGAACCTGAAAGGCCATGAATGTTATAAAATTAGAAACGCCATATCGATTTTACACGCCCTACATTGTATAAGGGTATTGCATCGGTTAAAATAAATATAATCGCTCAAGAAAATGAGAAACAATATGGCTATATATGGTTATGTATGGTGTATTGCTTTGTTATTATATTGCATGGCGTAGATTATATTCGGTTATGTTGCATATTATACTACATTGTATTGCAGATTCATATCGGTTTTCGAAGATCACCGACAAAAAGTAAGCAGCCTATGTTATTCTCGTCCCACAAACTATTCGCATTAAAAAAAAACAAAAAAATTAACTGCCATCCCTTATATGACTAATAGATTCTGTAAGCAGGCATTATCCTGCAAAAGACTTCGTTTGGACTAAAAAATTAAAAAATCATTCTAGATCTCAACAACAGCTCTACCCACTATACTAAGTACCTTCCAGGTGACTCAATAAGACAAAAACAAAAAGTCATCAAAATCAATCAAGCTGTTTAGAAGGAAAAGAATCACAAACAGACAGACGCACATCAGATATTTATATATAAACATAAGGATAAAACATGACTAAATATCATTATCAATGTTAAAACAAGTAATCGTACTTCAGCTACAAACCTAGCCATAGTGTTTAAAACGATATGTTTGCAAGCGACTGCAACTCTCGTAATAGCCTTCACTAATTTACCTTCGGCTGCACCGGTGTCGTGTTATAGTGGCATCGAATTGACCTACACAGTTCAATGGCAGCAAATCGATTTGCTTCGTGGTATCTAACATTTTCATTAGAACGGCTTGAATGTAATCTATATCAATAAAATTGAAATGCTGTTGGTTAGTAAGCGCCGCTTGAGAAAACTTATACCTATTTAGTATTTTTGTAAATATTCATTATCGTCCAAATAAGGATTTTAGGATGGCGAATTGGAAGAGATGCCTGGGAAATTAGGAAATTCTTGAACATTTGAAAGTGTTTTTATAAGATTTTTGTATCAACTCAAGAAAACGAACAAAATTAGGACATATTCTAAATATCGAACTAGTCTACTTGTAAAAGATATGTTTAGGATTGAATTTAATATAACTACTTTTTAAATACAAAAGGTACACCTACTTGTAAAATCACTTTATATATCGTAATAATTTTGAACTTCTCTTGAGTATTTATTTTTTATTTATAAAATTAGCGAAAATATTCCGTAACATACAGACAAAAAAATGTACACTAATTGAGTGTATTCCTCCTCCTAATCCTCCTATTTTTTTATCCTGGCCAAATTTTCTTTTGAAGTCAATAAAAACTAGTTTTATATACTTAAATAACAGCTTAAATTATTTAAAATTCTGTAAATAATTAACCAAACATATCTTACGTACACAATATAATATTAAAATAATGTATTTTCATTCCATGTCTAGAAAAAGACCCGTATCCAGTAGAGACCTTACCGACCTGCACCTATGCGCTCAGCGTTTGCCACAACGAAAAGTCCTGCTCCGTCTTGTTTGAACGCTTCAAGAATGCTTGCAAAGCCCGCGATGGAGACTGCCGCATGGAAGACAGGTAAATACAAAACTGCATTTGCTTTATAGGAGTTCATAGAAATTTCTATTATACGAAAAAAACTAAATAGATAATTTACGCGAAATAACTTTGAAATACCAATATTCATAATAACCAGAAAAAAAACACGTGTATGTAGCAAATGTAATTAACAGCTACGCGTTCAAGTAATAACGTCTTTGTTTATATTGTTGAATGTGATACGATGTTTTAAGGAAATATTTCATATATTTCCTTAAAAAAATCTCGTGAATCGTTAAAAAATACGTTAGCATCCGTTTAAACAATCCTTCGTTTTGGCGAATTGCGAAATTCATGTAACCTACATACAATCGTATTCGTCCTTAACGATTTGTTTCTGAAAAAGAAATCGTTATCGACAAATATTTGCGTAAATCACGGCTGCGTTAAACAATTTTATGAATAAACTAGCGACTCACCCTCGTCCCGCTCGGGTTCGTCCCTAGGAACGTTTTAACGGTTAGTATACCTAGATTTTTCAGAGTTGAGATATTTTCCCGCAGTAAAAAGTATCCTATATACGGTAACCAGCTATCATCATACCATATTTTATCAAAATCTAAAAGACAGACAGACAGAATTTTATTATATGAATTGCTTCCCAATACAAACTTTCGTTCCCATTTTCATCCTCTTAAGGGATGATTTCCGAGATATAAAGTATTGTATGTCCTTCCCAGGGTCTCAAAGTATCTTCATACCAAATTTCATCTAAATCAGTTCAGTAGATCCAAAGATTACCCCCTACAACGTTACAAACTCACAAACTTTATCTCTTTATAATATTAGTATAGATTGACGTAACGTATAAGCTATAATTTAATATAACTAAAATTTAAGACGTGGAAGTAAATTTTCTCAAGCTAATTTCACAATTTTAGCTAGCTTAACTCGAAGTTAAAATTAATTTTATGGAGACTTGATCAATATTCCAATTTTATCGCGTACTTTTAGCATTCACCTTACTTAGAGAATCTGTCTGGAAGGAACAAATTCGACCTTTAAAATGTAGGCGGTACAATCGTTATTAATACTAACCAACTTATGTTTATGTAAATTTTCACCTTTTACTTTTGTATTTACTACATAGATATCTTCATTTTGTTATAGGGTAAAATAATGTTAGTTTTTATAATATTTTTATTACTAAAAATGAAATTTCAGCATTTTTCTGAAAAAACAAATATACGATATATACGATAAGTAAATATTGAATTCCTTCAGTACAAATTATTATATGTACAATGTATCATTACAATTTTATTTAAAATTCTTACTGATAAATTTTAATGTTTTAACTTACATTTATTATATTTTGTTAATGTCTTGGCCTGGCTGTTTTTTTAGTTAGACACTGACCACGTAGCTTATCATGGAACTTGATGGTGTTGTGTGTTAATGTCCCAACATATTTACACTTTCCGAAAATATAAAAAAAAAACAAATTATAATAGGAGATCCCGATCTACGTGGTGGACCCCTCACTCTTTTTTCAACCGACTTCAAAAAGGAGGAGGTTCTCAATTCGACTGTATATTTTTTGTATGTTTGTTACCTCAGAACTCCGCCATTCCAGATTGGTCCCATTTAAATTTCAAAAAAGAAATACCACCCCTAAGGGTGGAAAAATAGCTAATGATGAATTTAACCTACTTCTAATTGTCATATTGACTTGAAACTTTGCAAGTGTTTCTATTTCCGTTGATAGTATAGTGGTTCGGTATTGTTGACCTGATCTGATGGTAAGTTCAGAAGGTGGATAGGTGGAACTCTTCAACGGCTAATAGTAGATACTTTGAGTTTGGGCTTATTTTGTTTGATTTGACAAGCCTAACACGTTAGAATTCTTACTTTGCTACTACTGTCCATACTAAAAAGGGAAAATAACTTTTTAACAAAAAAATAAAAACCGACTTCAAACAAAAGCACTAAAAAGTAAAAAATAACTGATTGGTAGTTTTCATTTACTATACATACCTAATCAAATATTTTCGAGCTCGGTGTGCTTTGGCTAAGTAATAAAAGCCTACCTATTAAATACATACCTAATCAAATATTTTCGAAATTGGTGCCAACCCATACAAAGCAAAGCACACCGACTTCGAAAATATTTGATTAGGTATGTATAGTAAATGTAAAAAAAAAAAGAACAAAAAAAAAAAAAGAAGAAAAAATTTGACAACGTCAATACAAAATTTATTGTGTAATCGAAATTTATTTTAAAATATACCCAAAAATAACATTAATAATTGAATTAATAGTATAAAAAATGTTTTAAAACACAACAAAATCGAAAGTGCATAATATTTAACACCATTCAGACAAAGAAAGACAATAGCATTCCCAAGGAGGGTTGACGTCAGGCAGGCGGCCGGTCGTAAAACTTTTGCCAAATCCTATCAGCAGTACACTGAAGATGTACTGCGCCGACTCCAAATGATTTGGGAAATGGGCAGGGAGAAGAAGAAGAAGTAAATGTAAACTACCAATCAGCTATTTTTTACTTTTTAGTGCTTTTGTTTGAAGTCGGTTTTTATTTATTTGTTAAAAAGTTTTCATCCGAAATATATTATTTGAACAAACATATTATTAACAAACAGGACCTATGGGGGTTTTTAGTCTCTTGTAAATGTGAAAGTTTGTGAGTATGTATGGATGTTTGTTACTCTTTCACGCCAGAACGGCTGAACTGATCTGGATGAAATTTTGCACAGAGATATATTATAGTCTGGAATAACACATAAGCTACTTTTTATCCCAGAAAAATATACCGTTCCCGCGGGATTGATTTGTTTTTGTTTTCCTAGAAGCCAACCCGACCGAAGCGAGGATGAACTTCTAGTATATAATAAATTCAAGTTAAAGTACAAAAATTTATTGGATAAGAATCTTCAAAAAAAATGTATTTCTAGAAAATCACTGTATTGTACAACTGTAATATATTCTCTATTCTAAAAAAGACAAATTGTATAAAATGATAGTATAATTTATTAGATTTAGTATAATTTAATAGATTTAGACGTATTTTCATATTCGAAGTGTCATCTATGAATTACATGCCATCGGATGCGCTACCCGAAGCAAATCCCCGACGTAATACTCTAATGGTCGACCATTGTGTTAATGTGTCACGTAGTTTCGTATTTACCTATGCAAGTTTGATTCAATAAAATTTTCTACTTTATATTTTTTGAGGACTTTTTGAAATAAGTCCACTTACGTGATTATAATATTTTAAATACAACTATCTTTTCGGATTTTTCGCGGAATAATTTTGTTTTTTGATTCCCGACGTTTCGAATGCTTTACAGCAATCATGGTCACGAGAGAGATTGCTCAACAAAAAATCAAAATAAATCCGCGAAAAAATATCCGAAAACTTAGTTTTATTTAAAATGTCAAATATTCGCGTAAATCTAAGAAAGTATTATGATTATAATATTTTAAATAACAAAAAATAAAAATTGATTAATTGTTTATACATATAAATAGTTTATATGTTTTTGTTTATACAAATAATACAGATAATATCTTATTATCTAGTCTATTACTTTAAGGGGAAATGTAAAATCAAAAATTTCCACATATAATGCCGGGGCAGAACGCTATTAGTGTGTTATTTAAGACATATGTAGGTACAAAGCTTGTAGTAGAACCTAATGGACCAATACTACTTGACAACACTTTCAATAATTTTTTTGAGGCATACAATTAAATTCCAACTGTGTTTTATTGGCACTATTCTACATATTTTATCACCGGTTCGATGAACGAGTGTATTATTCATACAATATTCATCCCAGTTTGACAATGGTAATTATTACATTCTTGGGAAACACTCCATATGTACGATTATGTAACCAAATGAATAAATAACTTAATTAAAATGAATACACATTGAACTGTCTTTATGTTTGGATAATGTCTAATAATAATATGTATATTGTTTTTGACCGTGGATTTAAAAAGAAATTAAAATTTATAATTGTATATTACGCCTATATTTAATTTTCACCGATAACAGAAGTCTATTACTTACTTATTTCAAATATTTTTTTATTAAATCTGTTAATATACATTTAAAGCCAGAAAGCGTGACATTGTCTTTCTTTTCATACAGCACCCTAAGAAATCAATACGTACAAGTTATTTCTCGATTGCGCCTATTAATCTAACCTAGATCTCGTAGGTTAGCGGTTTAATACATCGTGATTGCGATCTGACCTTCTCCACATGTCAAGGACGGGTAGCTTCCGATACACGAAGGGTTGATGTCAATTTTTAATCCACTACCTTCATATATACTAAAAAAACTGCAATTTTGCAGTACAATAATTTTATAATTAAATTTATATTTATTCGTAATTGAATTATAATAATTTATTGACTTTAAAAAAAAATATTTTCGCTTCTTACTTTTATAATGCGTAATGTCAACCGAATCTTCGTACTTGTATCCACATTCCCTATTCGTCACATCGGGGTTGTTATTAAAAAAAGGAATCATAAAAATTGGTTTTCAATTAACGAATATATCGCGTAACAACAAACTTAAAGATAATCCGAACTAACATTATAAATGTGAAAATTACTCTGTCAGTTGCCTTTTCTTGCTCAAACCGCTAAATTGATTTTGATAAAAATGCCACATACCACGCCAACAAAACTGCGGACAAAAACTAGTAAAAAATATCCTTTTTAAAGTTGGTCAAAAATATACGAGAACGATATACTCGGACTTCGTGGCATAATGATTAGGTGTCATTTTCATACCTTGTTTAGTATTCTATTAGCGGTAGCAATTGTATATTGTCATCTTATCTAAGTCCGCAGATCTCAGGTGTCGTAGACAGATTGTCGCTGACACCGCAACCTAACATCACACAAATGAGTGATGTAACAGAAAATATTTTAAATAACTTTATATTTAAAAAAAAAAGTTTCTTAGACAAAATTTTATAAAAATTCTTTAGTCATGAAATAGTACGAAATGGTTATACACACGCAAGTAGAGAAACAGCTAAAAACGCAGACAATAAATCTATCATTCCTTCCTTCCAAAATATCTCCAAAATTATATTTTTGGAAAACACTTTTTAATAATAAGAAACTTACACTAGGTGAATTGATTGATCATATTTATATTTAACAAAAATCGGACCTATTCTTTCTGTAAAAACCTTCAACCAACTAAAAATATTTTTTCTCTGAAATATGAAGCGGAACCCTTTTTTTTATGTCGGGAAATGCATTTACGCATACCACCTGAACCCCCAGGTGGTGATGTGGAGCTCACCGGCTAGAAGAGCGCCTACCCACTAAAACCCGACATTCCCCTCCCCTCCGCCTTAATGGGACGCCGCAGGATCGCTTGCGCATAACTACAACGGCGCCCCGGCGGCAGGTCTGCCTAAACGCTAGGCAGACCACCAAACCAATGGGGCTGCTCCACAGTCAACTCTGCTACGCCAGAGAGGTACCCGGAGCAGCCCCATTAAACCTAACCACCGCCCACCGAAGTGGGCCACCTCCAATCGGCTGCAGAGGACAGGGAGAGCGGCAACGAAACACCGACACTCTTCTTCTCCTGCAGCCCCACCGCGTCCGCCATCAAACGGTGGCGGCCCCGTCTAGGCCGCGGAAGGTAGGGAGAACGGCGCACCGAAATACCGGCACTCCTCTCCCGCCGCGGCCTACCCCTCCGCCGGATGCGGGCCTGCGACCACAGTCCCGCACCCGGTACCCATCATCCGGTTGTGGGACCAAGCGGTCCCACCACCGGTGGCCGCAACGTCTTCGGCTCGAGGCCTAGACGAGCGGCCCCACCCAAGCCATTTGGTCCGCGCCGGATTTCTCCGGTACCACCCGCCGCCCTAAGCGGGTGGCATTCCTCTATCCGCCACCTGGAGACGCGCCCGGTAGGAGTTGGCTTCTCCCCCGGGATGAAGCGGAACCCTGCATTATGAAGCAAAACTAAAAATACGATGAAATAAACTTTAATTTAATAAAAAAAAAGATTAAAAAATATTAGCCCCGCTGAGTTTCTTTCGCCGAGTCTTCTCGGGACTAAAAGACATTTTCTGGCGGTAGTTCATGAAGTTCAGTATTAAATTATATCACTTGCTCACAGATTTACCCGAATATAAGTACCAGACGCTTCGAATGCTTCATACTAGTCTAAGACCATGTTTGCTCTATTTATATTTAGATTAAGTTTCTTGTAAACAAAACATGTTTAGTTCCTCTTTTAAAAGAACCACCTTATTTTATTCAGGGAATCCTGTCGTGAAGCCTGGGCTGGATTGCGCATGTCCCCAATCTTCGGTTGCATCTGCCCCAATACACATATGAAGAAACGTTGCGATCGAATTTTCGCTGTCGTCAACCATAACCCCTGTGTCGGTGAGTACTACACAAGTTAGCTCTGTGTTACGTTTTGAGTGAGAAATGACTTAGCTCCAGTAAATATAGTATAATAAATATCTATCGATCCATTTACAATTAACATCATTCACTAGAAATATACTTCTGTTGAAACAATATATACGAATCAATAATAAAATATTGTAAATTTTATATGTAACAAAATATAATCTATCTATAGAAATATGAAAATCAAATAATAAAATTCCAGGTAGTTTATTCTCTCGCTGTTCAGTAATACTGAACTAAAATTCTAGCTAAAACAAAAGAAAAGGACGTAATTATATTATAGAGGCAGTTTGACCCTAACGTTGAGAGCTCTTCGAGGTGGGCTATTTTTATTCTTACTTTGGGGTACTTACTGCTGTATTTTAATGGCAAAGTTCACATTTTTTTCTGTTAAACTTTGAAACATAAAGACTTCCGAATCGGATCTAAATCAGCTTCAATGAGGCTAATAACAAATACATAATAACTAAACACTAATACTGTCTTAGGATTACGCGAATATTTGAGATTTTAAATTATTTTTTGATTTTTGGTTCCCGACGCACGTTTCGAATGCTTTACAGCAATAATGGTCACGGGAGAGACTAAAGTTTTGACATCTTAAAGGCGTTATATACATACTTGTTACAGATATTGCCTACCCACAATTTTACAAAAATGATTTCAAAAATTCAAAAATGGCACCAGAGTACCATACAATATTTGTTGATTTTTATTCTAAACATTTAAAAAAATATATAATTATTATAATTAAATACAGTAATATTATTTATTTAACTTTAGCTGTTACTATTATAAATAATTATGAATAATATTATTTTATGTTGACATTACTCTAATATGTATAACCACAAAGAAAATTAAAAATATTAATTATTTATGTAAGCAATATTACTGTTTTATATTATTTTATATAAACCAAACACTGTATACAAGTTTACTTATAAAGACAGTCGCATAAAGAATTATAGGATGGATATAACAATGTTACGTATACAAATACTTCACAACAATACTTTTAGGTACAAGAAACTCTAAGCTTACAAGGAACCAACAAAAGGCTTTTATACCGCCCGTGTCTATCTATTATCACATCATAGATAGTACATACCTACTACTTCTACTATAATATTTTATCTTTATCTTTTTTTTCTGTTACTGTCACAAAGAAAAAACAAAAATGTGTTTTATAATCTATACTGATTTAAACTCACTGTAGAAAGTGCATAACTTCTGCTTAATAGGCATTGCTGGTATAGCAACATACTGTGACATGATGGTAGGATGGTTTAAAAGCCTATTTAATAATTAAATTTCATTCGAATAGTATTATTTAATTAGTATATTTCATTTTGACGCCAGTAAAATCAAATACATTTATAAATGGTTTTAAATTATATATAACATGATAAGTTTAGGCGTACTGATTCCACGCTTGCAATAACTGATCCTGCGAGTGGGTTTAGAATAGATGATATTTATTCTACAGTCACTTACGAGTACGAGTAGAAACCTTTTGGAAAATAATAAATTGTTCAATTAATTTGTTTTTGGGACATTAATACACAGGACCATCTAGTTCCATGGTAAGCTACGAAGCTTTTGTTATGGATACCAGATAGTTGAATGGAGTACAAAATTCGTACTCATTACACAAATGAATGTCTCCAGCGGGACTCGAACCCGCGACCGATGACACAGCACATGGCACTACAAACTGAGCCAAACGAAATTATGTACAAGTATCACTATACTTGTATATATCCTTATAAATCATAATTTATTAGACTAACACTCTCATGTATAAGCTTTATTACCTACTGTTTCATCAAAATCCATTTATAAAATTTGGCGTGAAAAAGTAACAAACATGCATCTTCACAATATTTTCGCGCCTATAATACGAGTATTAGCAGGATTTTTAACTGACTTCTTGTCTGTTTTCATTTGGGCAAAATTGGGATGAAATATTAGTTGCGAGTGGTGATAAACTATAAAAAAATGTCCGGGTCAATTCAGCTTACAGAATGCGTTACATTTAGTCCTTGTCTTTCTCAATAAGCATTAAGTAACTAATATAATGGTTATAACGAGGTAATATCGCGTCCAATAAAGCAACTTGATTCAATATACGGCGGAAAGTTTGATTCATTTCGTGTAATCCCTGCTGAGTTCTTATTGTTAAGTAGGGCTGGCGATGTGGGAATCGCAAGTATTGATAATTAATTGCATGCATAATAATCTTAGAATTTCTTCATAAAATATCTAGTTATATATTGATCTGATCACCTAATTAAAACCCATATGAATATATCTTACAATAATAACAAGTTTGCATATAAAAGCATTTGATCTTATTTTACATAACAATAAAATATTAAATATTCCTTGTTCATAGAAATATATCTCAGTCAGTTCTCCATTTTCCATTTTATGAAATTATCATAGTGTTAATTAAGTAAACTAAACTAAATAGCGATTGCCTTAAAATCACATTGTAAGATTTGGACAATAATTCACCCTGTTCGAGAATCAAACCTGCAATTTTTGGCGTCACAGGTAATGCCTGCCATTGTTTAATAATAACATACCTCATTACACCAAAATAATTAATTTAGGCCTTTACATGAAAATACATAAAACGTCAACGCTGTAATATGTATACTTTTGATAAATCGTAAAACTAATCGTAAATCATTTTTATTAAACATCGTAAAAATTATAAGAAATGTTATTTACATAAATCTAAAACTGAAACAAGCACTTCGACAGAAGGGACAGAATGACGAATATGATATACCTTTACTCTTCCGTTCTTGCCATTTGGTCCCGGGCTAATTTCCCTACAAAATGAATGTGACCAAAACATTTTATCGCCATACAAAAACAATTTTCATTTTTACAAATCGTCCCCATATCCGGTTTTGAGTAAACTTTTGACCGCTCGTTAATATTTCACTTGCATGCCCCTTCGTACTGAGTGTATAGAACCAATTAAAACGTTCGCGGTAGCGTGCTCCATGTATATTTTTCTTGTAACATGTAAGTTGGCATGCTTTGCCGTACTGTGTGTTAAATATTTTCGAACGTATTGTTTTAAATAACATGGAGAAATAAAGTAATAGTATATTTTATATGAAGAAAATACGACACGTGCGTGGGCTTGAAAAATGTCCATACACTTTAGTTTTTATTTGACCATGTATGTATGTTTGAAGTATTACAATATATTTTACGCGTCATATATTGGTTGATACGATAAATCACATACTTTTTTTTACTATTTTTTCATCAATCACACACTATTTTTTCTATTTCATACGATATTTTAACTTACAAGTTATAGTTTTAATATATCATCTATATATATTAAAACTATTAGCTATTTTAAAGTTTACACACTATTTTGTGGCACTTAGCCACTGTCTCCTATTCTGGAAATTGTAGATTACTAGGCCAATTATAGTTAGGCTTGTACAAACGTACACCCCTAAATTTCCTTCATTAATATATTTAAAATACTTCCCTAATAAATATAAAATGTAAGGAAAAAAATACTTTTTTTAAGAAAAGTGTGTGAATGTCAATTAGTTTAAGTTATATAAATTCTACTATTGCTCTAATTAATAATTTATAAATTATTTGCACAACAGCTTTCTATACATATAAACGTTTCAACCCTAAGGCCGCTAAGAGCCACCTAATCCGTAGCGGTCGAGATCTCTACTCCTCGCCCTTGCTAAGACCTTAGTTCTGTAAATCAATCTTGACTTTCGTTTTAATAGTTCCTTTTATGTTAAGCCCATTGGCAATGACGTTATATGAGATGTTAAAGAATGGAAAAAAATCATTTATCTTATATCTCTATCTTAATTTGTCATTCTTTGACGCAGTCTTAGAGCAACGTTTTGACAATATTTTGTATAGATCTATACTAATATCTATACATATAATAAAACTGTAGAGGTCGAATGTCTGTACATAGAAAAAAAATTCTAAAAACCGAGTCAGGAGGTATGAGAAGAGAAATAACAAATCCAGATTATTTTCAATTTTTTTGTTTCTTTATCTGTTTGTCTGTTTGTACGGGCTAATCACCGAAACTGTTGGACCGATTTAAATGAAATTTTGCATAGTTACCTTTTATCTCCGGTCAACATTTTAGATATATTACAAATAGATTCATCCCGGAAAATTAAAGATTTCGCGTGGGATAGTTAGTAACTAATACAGTTTAGTGCACAACAACTTATGCACCGCACCTAATTTAGTAAAATTTGGCATGCTGATATCTTAAATTGCCGGTCAAATAACAGGTTACTTTTTATCTCGGAAAAATGAACGGTTCCGGTAGGATAGATATGTCTGTGCTTTTCTAGAGGCAAACCCGAGCGAAGCGAGTGTGAGCCGCTAGTTATATATAAATGTGAAAGTACTCGTATGTTAATATGGATGTTTGTTACTCTTTCACGCCAGAACAGCTGAGCGGATCTGGATGACATTTGGCACAGAAATAGATTATAGTCTGGAATAACACATAGGCTAACATTTCATACAGGAAAAATGTACGGTTCCCGTGGGATAGGTTTGTTTTGTTTTCCGCTAGTTTATAATAAATAATAGTAGTGTGATATCTAAGTTTAATTTGCGAGTAAATAGTATTAAAAACCATTAATGAAATAAAATGAAGAAAGCAAAGAGAGGACAAGTCATTAGTAAACTATGTCTTAGATAGGTAAATATAAATTATGTACATTTTTAGCCTGACCGGATAGCTAGCGTCTTGCCTCACAAAGTGTCGTGACTCGCCCCTTTGTAGGTTAAGAGTTGTCGAGCTAAACTTTGACTCGAGTGCGAGATTTGACGTAGGTATGGATAGTAAAACTTATAACGAAGCAGTTTCTAGGATATTATTTAAAAAAAAATATAGATATACAATAATATATTAAAATTAACTATTATTACGCATTATTAATAAAAATAATTAAAACATAAAATACATATGAAGTAATATTTTTTAAATAAAATATTAAGATTTTTCCGTTTCTGGTCACTCTGAGAAAATAGGTAACACGAAAAATTATTTTTTCGTTTTTTTTTTAAATTAAATTAGAAAATAGTACGTCATTGAGTAAGTATATTTTGTATGAAGAAATTATTACATGTGCGTGGGTTTGAAAAATATCATCCACTTAGTTTTATTGTACCTTATTACGGTATGCCTACACCACTTTACGCTTCGCAGAATTGTTTATATTGTTCACAATAGTTTTCTAGCTTACACTAACAATGTTATATAAAAACATCAAAAAAATCAATTCAATACCTTTTAATTTAATTCGGTATCTACGAGTACCTATAAATATAGAAATAGGCAAAGAAACATTTATTTATATTTCAATGCCTTTTTTTTCTTCTTTTTGTCAACCGATTTTCTTGCTTTTGTTAGTAGCTATTGATGAGCTTTAGTGTTATCAATAAAAAGTTCAAGAGTTTTTAATATTACTAGCAACTCACCCTCGCTCCGCTCGGGTTCGTCCCTACTTACGGTTTAATGTTTAGTATAAACTCAAAGATGAGATATTTTCCCTCAGTAAAAAGTATCTTATATGTTGACCCGGATAACCAGCTATCATCATACTAAACTTCATCAAAATCCCTCCAGCGGTTTTTCCGTGATACAATAACAGACAGACAGACGGACAGACAGACAGACGAAAATTTTAAAAACTATACATTCGGCTTCTGTATCGATAACAATGTCTATTTCAATAAGATTTCCCAAAAAATATTTAATGTACAGATTTGGCTTAGTTACAATTTTATTGTATGTATAGATTACAATCATGAACGAATTAACCAAATTCGTCCATGATTACAATCATGAACGAATTAACCACTGGACCAGACATATAAGCGGACGTACCTTCACCGGTCATGTTAGTAACCAGGGTAATTTTAGCCTAGGTCGTTTGTTTTTTGTGTCAGTCTCAAGCACTTACTTGTCAACAAAACATCTCCCAAAAATGACTAAATGTTCTGTTAAATGGTGTAAAAACTATAACGGCGGAAGAAACACTATTTCTTTTCACTTGTAAATACATTATTTTATTACATTTATTGTTATTTATTCCAAAATTCAATTTAATTTAAAATAAAATGTCATATTATCCAACTATGTTAAATATAGTCGATATTTCTATGTATTGTTGACATCTGACAACCATCATAAACGGGCAGGATTATACCATTCAGAACAAATGACAAAACTGACGAGTGAGTCCATTTGACATCGACTAGTGCTTGACAATGTCGAAAAATATATCGATATTTGACGAAATAACTGAACGAATTGTGTTATTTGTACAGTACAATAACATAAAATATTTTATCACAGTATCATACAATCCGATGACAATAAATTTATAATATTTTCTGAATCAAATAAAAATATAAATGCAAAAATTATAATTAGTATGTGTACTTTTTTTTATTTTATTTTATACCACATTTATATACTTTGGAATATTATTCCATTGTAATAATAATAAAGATCATTTTATTTCAACACATAAATTACACAAAATCAAACAATAATGTTTTAGCACTAAACTTCTGGGTTGGCGATTTGTAATAAAACACTTTACCACTTGCACTAATTATTTTACTTTCACGATCCAACACTCACTTTTTCACAATTTGCAATCACTTTTTCTTTTTCCTAATTTCACAAATGTTTATTAAGAACTGAGCAATATTAGGAAAGTATCACATTTTTATAACTACCCGAGACAATCAATTGCCAATTAAAATAGTTCAATAACAGAATCAACAAAATCACTTTATTTAATTAAATTAGCTTAATATTTTTTTAATCTTTACAAAATAATATTTATTATATATTAATGCAATATACACCCGATATTCATTTGTTCATTAACATTATTATAGGCCAACAGAATTTTGCCATCAATGCCATCGTATTTATATAAATCAAATTAAAAAAAATATGTTTGATGACATGTTTGGCTCAGTTTGTAGTGACCCTACTTGCTGTGCCAGCGGTCGCGGGTTCGAGTCCCGCTGGGGGCATTCATTTGTGTGATGACAAATGTTTGTACTCCAGTCATGGGTGTTTATATTTATAATATGTATGTATTTAAAGTTATATATGTGTAGTGTATCAACTATCTAGTATCCATAACACAAGCCTCGTAGCTTACCATGGAACTAGATGGCGCTGTGTGTTAATGTCCCAACATATTTATTTATTTATTATTTAATTATTATTTGACACATTATTATTGCCTCTTTAATTCATTTATTTTAATTTATTATATAAATACAGACATTTTAAATTAAAAGTAGTAAAATATGATGACTATGCTTACAAATGTCTAAAATGTCATTCATTAGTTCATCGATATATGTATTTTATCGATTACGTTCAAGCACTAGAAATATTGTATTGTGTATCAGTGTTTATAATCATGTAATAAAATCTTTGTGTGCGTTATGCGTCACTTGGTTGAACTAGTTTTCATACATTTGTATTTTATGTCAGGTCCAGTCTCTAATTCGTCCATGATTACAATTAACGAATAACAGAAAGAAAATGCCAAAAAAATGATTATGGTCGAATTTCGACCACTGATCGAATAATAGTTAAATATAATTCGGTAGTTTTTCTCATTTAATACTGTATTAAACTTATATAATAGGAGGGTATGAATATCTTATGATTTTATACAAAATTTAGTGAAAGAGTGAGTAGTATAGCGAAATTGTTATTGAAACACGAATCATATAAACTAATTACTTTAGTGTTATGGGATATTCAGTCAATAAGATTTCAGAACGTTAATAGAATTTTTGTATAAAATACAAATATAAGCAAATATTGATTACCAAACTTAATTTAAAAATAGTAAATAATTCCAAAAAAGTCCAATATATTTTATTTAAAATAAATAAATTGAATTAATTACAAATGTTTTTTCCTATAAAAGTATTATATTCATACTCGTACATCACAGTATATTTTCCTGAGATGCGTGAGGTGAAATGTAAACACGAGGATTTTAGGATCAGCTGGCTTAATAAACGTAATTTAAATCTGACGGCTCACAATCTCCATATTATAAGATAAAATGTAATAATAAAATTCATATATTGTAATGGGGAGATACAAAGCGACACTTATTTTAATATCTGTTCAAAACATAATTTGGAAAGAGTTATTTTGCATTACCAATGCTCTCTAATCCGTAGAGATATAGCGGACTTCTCTATTATATCTAAAAACTTGACTATAGACCTCACGCCTTGAAAAGGCCGCGTTAGAATTTATAAATATATGCAAGATTACAATCAAATAAATATCGCAATAAATAATAGAACAAAAGTATATAAAAGAGAATAGTCATCGTTCGGAGTTACGAAGTGCATTTGGAAACATGTAATTTGCGAGAGAGCTTCAAACTATGTCTTTATCCAGAATAGATTTTAGCTATTCAATATAAAAGAAACTTAAAATCAATTTAGTTAATGTTAAAGCTGGATTTTAGTTTCATAACAAAATCTGTTCTAGAAACAGTGATATGTACTCGTAATTCGTACTCGGGATAGTCCCGGAAAGACGTGTCTGACCTGTCCTTTAAAATCTTATACTATGTCCACTTAATAATTAATAAAAGTGTATGTGTGTTTGTTACTTAAAAGTCGGAATAGAGATAGCCTATATCCTAA